GCCAACTCCTTCCTTTGCTGGATTACTGATACAAACGGCATTTCCTAGAGAGAACGTGCTATTGGAATGGTTCTCTTTGCCAGAATTGCTGCTCAAATGATGCATTTTCAATTTTTATAGTCAGTGAAGATTTAATCATGCAAGCTTTTCTATCAAAGGATTATTCCTGAATTAATTCCTTTGTTTGCATGGTGGTGAAAATAGCATATACATTACTGATTGATTGATTGGATGTATACCCTAACTTTCCTTCAGGAATTTAAATCAAGCATCCTTAGTACACTCTATATTCCTCTCAACAGCCACTCTGTGACGGTGGGCTGGGAGAGGCTTTTGGCCCAAAGTCACTAATTACATTCTGTGACTGAGGGTGGACTTGAACTCTGGGTCTCTGTACTTCTAATCCAAAATCTTAACCACTAACCCCCCCCACCCCGTCTGCCTACTTTTAAATTAAGCAAATTCCTGCTTAATTAATTAATTAGGTCTTGCTGGCAAGTTAGTCTGCTTAGGAATTCCACATATACTCCTGTGGAAAAGTTCACAAAGAGGCAATCCAGATCAATGACACATCCTGAAACAATATAGTTTGCTTCAGGGTACCCGTGCTCATTCATGGAAGCAATTCAATGCTTCTGGACTTGCACTGGACATCACCAAGCCAGCTATATTTGTTTTGCCTTAATGGTTGTTATAAACATAACTATTGACTAGGGTATTCTGGGAATTGAAGTCCATACATCTTAAAGGTGCCAAGGCTGAAAAACGCTATTATAAATTGCGGTTTCAGAGTTCGCATTGGGTGCGAACACAGCCACGGTGACTTATTAACAAATCAGAATCATAAAACATGCCTTGGCATTATCAATGAACCCAGCCATTGACTGTATAGTATGATTTGGCGCTTTCTTCTGGCACTGTAATTCTGACCAATGTTCGTTCTCCACTCTGAATGGGACGGGCCTAAATTTTACCATTTAATTTGCAGCTAAGGGCTGAGTCTATTCTAACCATACTGAGTCAGCACGCTAATTGCAATACTTCTCTTCATTTGTAATAAAAGCACTATGAAATCCAACCAGCAACAAGCCTCTAAATCACTGTAGCCTTAGGGTACATTTTTTTAAAGTAAGCTGGCATAACTCCTTTCTTGCTTCCTGGAAACAGTTCAGAAATCAGGAGCTGCTACTACTGATATTGCATAGGCAAATTTCTCTCTCTTGATTTATAATTTTCCTTTCCGCCAGCAAGTTCCGTGTTATACTGTGGCAGCTGTTCCCAGCCTGATGCCCTCCAGTTGGAAAGAGATGGTTGAGAATCCTGGAAATGGCAGGCCAAATAGATCAGGCAGCACCGCGCTTGGAAGACTGACAATAAATTGAAGGATCCTTAATAGAATGAAAAAAACTTTGGGACCTTAGCCATGTATTTTGTATTTGGGGAGCATCCATCCTTCAGGGCATATATGTTTTTGATTTGGAGCAGCATCACCAGAAACCTCACAATATGGAAAACATTTAACCGGAATGCTGTTAATTCAGGAACACTTACTCAGGTGCTCAATCATGCTTATGTCCACATAAAGCAGCATAGCCACGTACTTTTTAAATAGATTCAGAAGTTAACAGAGGTGTCTGTAAAGTGTGGTCAAAAAAGTCAAGNGACCCCACCATATGATTTCAAATGGTATTGCATAACCTATAATCCAGAAATGTACACAAGTATTTTTTTTTTACCCTCCTAGGGATTCCAAATTCAGCTAATTCAGGGAAGCCACCTAGTTCAGGGGCAACTGAACCTGGCAACTTTAAGACTTGTGGACTTCAACTCCCAGAGTTCCTTAGCCAGCTTTGCTCTGGAATTTGAAGTCTACAAGTCTTAAAGTTGCCAAGGTTGGAGAGGCCTGAACTAGTTATAAATGAAAAGATTCATTTGGAATTTTATTAGCTTCCTGTGAAAGGAATAACGTCTTCCCAAATCATTAAACAGAGATTGAAGTAGCAAAACTGAGAACATGATTTAAGTGATACTGAGAAAACTTTAACATTTTATTACTTTGAAAAGATGCTACCAGATTCTTTATGATTTTTGGTGACAATGGACTAACTCAGGTCTCCTACAATGAAAGTTGTGAAGAACTTTCAAAATGGTTCAGGGTAGCTTCTAATACATTTTATGGGGAGGGGGGGAAACAATTAGAAAAAATAATTGATTTATGATTGCTGGTGACTTAGGTCATATCTCTGCTTTGAAGACTTTATTGGGAATGGAGGGGAGAAATGACCTTTTCAATGACATGTGGCATTCAGCTGGGGTCCTAATAGCTCAAAAGGAATTGGTTACCAACTGTTCATCCTTAATCCATAAATTATTTTATAAGATTCACAGGAATCATTTTGCCCTTCCCTGATATGCAGCAGCTGTTCAGCAGCACAAAACACTACACCACGACATAATACTTCAGGATAAGAAATGAAAGCCAATCTGCTAGCCAATTGGAACAACAATAGGATTTTAGGGAAATGGTAGAGTTCGGTTACCCTCAGCAGAACGTGACCAGAATTCTATGTAGGCTCATAAAAATAACATCCTTTAATAATCAAACATGCATGGAATCTTTATTATAAACTCACCCAGAATATCTTTTCAACAAGAATACATCCAGCTTCATGAGATCAACAATTCTGAAATGGGCGCAATAGGCTTGTAATTATATTCTTGTCTTTTCATATTGCCTTAAGCTCTATCATCACTACAAAGCAACAAAAGTTTTACTTACTGTAGCTATGTTACAGTGACTTTTGGGATTGTAGTTTGGGGAAAGTGCTGAGAGAATGTGGGTGGGGGACTTTGTTTTCCACCCAAAACAAAGGAGCAGCTGGTGCTTCCTCTGTTCTGTACACAAAAATTGACTGGACTTGCTGCTTTACATTTAGTTAATAGCAACAATGGTTCAGCATCTTTATTTCAAATGTGAGGTGGTTATTTTAAGAGTCACAGGTGGGCACATCCTAATCTCTCCACTTTTCTTCCTTATCCTCAGCATCTATTTCACACCTTTAGTGAATAAGACTATCCCTGCAGCCAGGGTGAATGACATGACTGCAAGACCCCAGCCCCTCCTTCTTAGTGTCCTAAAAACTTACCGTATATATTTATTCTTATATCTATTTCATAAAACAAGGACTAAAATTGGTTCACTAAATTTTTACTGGGCTTAAAACTCTTTTGCCCTTGGTTCTCCCAATATGAAAAATGAGGCCTAAAACTCTACTTCTGCAACTCTAATTATAGTAATATATCCTTGCTATTCTATCTATAATCCTTAGCCGACAGACCCTTTTTTTAAAAAATGCACCCTCTGGATGAAAAAGATTTGTCTGGCCCTGCCAAAAGAGGGAATAAATGTTAAACCAATAAGTGTGTGTGTGTGTGTGTGTGTGTGTGTGAGAGAGAGAGAGAGAGAGAGAGAGAGAGAGAGAACATGTGCAATCTATGAGGTTACCTTAGAATTTGAAGAAAGGTTAAAATGTTATAGCAGGCTATGTTTTGTTCCAAGATTGAAGAGAAGAGGTTGTGTCTCTTCTTTCAGTGATATGGTCCATACTCACCGTGTATTGGGGATGATGGGGGAGAAGAAGAAGAGGGACAGCCATGATGCAACAAAAAAGGTGTATCTGCCACATGTAGGATGAGTGTGATTTTGGTGGGAAGGGAGCAGAGGAAATTTGTCCATAGTTATCTTTGCTTTAAAAAAAATAAAACTGGTGTGGGGTCTTTGGGGAGTTATTTGGAGTCTTTCTTGACACAGTGTATCATGACTCTTCACCTGGTGTGATCAGTGAGGATTCACAGGTGTCAAAGAGTAGCTTGGGTCACCTGCATTGTTGGATCTTCAAGTTTCCCACTTTTGCTGGCATGAATAATACTATAGAATAGCCACAAGTATGTTGATTGGAGGTAGTTGGAAGAAAGGGAAAAGCTGACATTTAGTACCGACAGGGTCTTATTTTATTTTGACCCCTGAAATAAGCGCTTGGCCTTATTTTGGGGGAGGTCTTATTATTTTTAAGGTGCAGGAGGCGGCGAGCATGGTCACTTCATGGCTGTGGCTGTGTTGCAATATTTTCAGGGAGGGCTTATTTTCGGGGTAGAGCTTAATTTAGCGCATGCGCTCTAAACAGAGTAGGAACATGCATGCTTCCTAGAAGGAAGGTCTTTGGCTTAACTCCTGCCTCTCCAGATAGTATATTGAAAGACTTATGCTTTAATAATCTGAAGGTTTGCAAGTTGGAGCAAGCTAACATTGCTCATATCAGACCAATATCCCCTAACATGAGGGTTTTCCAATTTTTCACTATAAAAGGGATGCACATGTAATAAATAAATCCAACCATTAAAAAAACAAACATTTCTTCAGAAGGGTAGACAGCAGTTGAAAATAACCATTGGGCTGTTCTGCCGGAGACATGAAGCAGTAGGAATAGCTGTGACTAAACAGCAACATGGTTAAATTCATTGTCCAATTTTAAACTGTACTCCCATTAAGTGTCCTTGTATTGCCGGAGATGGAGAAATTGTCAGAATTGCTCAGAAAACAGTGGGAGTTCTATTTCTGAGCAGGCAGCAGAGGATTACACTTTTAATTAGCCAAGTAACCCCATGAACTCTTCTGTGTTTCAACTTTAAATTTAAATAAAGCTCTAGATGGGGTTATCTATTCAGTACAGTGGGCATTTCACTTTGGAACACATATGTAGGGAACAGCGCCTTCAGAAGAATCACTCTCTGATGTATGCCCTTGATTTTAAAGAAGGGCTTAGTTTTTCATAGATATGAAGCTGTCAACCCCTTCCCAAGTAAATGGGGAGAAAAGCTTGAAAAGGTCAGAGGGATGGGTTCGATTGCTTATGGAGCACAATATGCAAGGTGAGTCTTAAAGGTTTCTCATTTTAACATGTTTAACATTGCGTCCATCCAACTATTTGGCTTATAAGGTAGCTTGCTAGTGCTGCAAGAGAGGGCAGCAGAGCAGGATCCTGATTGTATCTTTGTTTCTTGTAGGTGACTATCTCGGTGGGGCCACACTGATCATGCTCAGGAGCTTCTGTCTTCAGCTCATGTCCTTGCTTTGGATCCTTGCGGCCCATCACCACTTCATCCAAGGTGAGGATTAACTAAACATTCACTTGAACTCTCTAGAGTGCTGCCGAAGAGAAGAGAATGTTTTATTTTGTCACTGTACACATGGCCTTCCTTTTATATAACTCTCTGTGAGGGGTGAGTCTCATTTGAAGAGGGTTGTACTTCAGGTGCCAAATAAGCACCTTTACCAAATTAGCATCCAGGATTTGGCTGAGGTTGGGATTCCTTCCCAAAACAGGTTGTCTGCCCAGTTGCTGGGTGGGCATGGCCATGGTGGGCAGGGCCAAGTCGGCCTCCTGCACTACAGCAGGGGGGTGGAAGCATTTTCGCCTTCCCCAGGCTCCGGAGGCAAAATTGCGTGCACACTGAATTGCGCGCGCACCAAACCAGCAGTAATGCCGGCAGCAACTCACCCCTGGTTCTCCCGAACCCGGGTGAGCTCGTAGCAGCTTAACCCTAGTTTGGACCATGAGGCAAATGAGTTTTGAGGACAAGGCAAAGAAAGCATTATGTCTGTGGAGCTATTCAGATTTGTTTCCCAAATGAGGGTAGAATACAAAGCTATACAGGGCACGAAGGTAGCAGGGCAAGAGATCCTTATGTGATATTGGGCACTAGTGGAGTTTGGGTACACGCAAACCCCAGTATGAGTTAAGGAAGGAGCGCACAACTATAATCCATCATACAAATAATATAAAGTTGGCAATAGCAATAGCAGTTAGGCTTATATACCGTTTCATAGGGCTTTCAGCCCTCTCTAAGCGGTTTACAGAGTCAGCATATCGCCCCCACAGGCTGGGTCCTCATTTTACCCACCTCGGAAGGATGGAAGGCTGAGTCAACCCTGAGCCGGTGAGATTTGAACAGCCGAACTGCAGATAACAGTCAGCTGAAGTGGCTGCAGTACAGCACTCTAACCACTGCGCCACCTTGGCTCTTGATAAAGTAATAAGATAAAGTAATCCATCATAAAAAACATTGAAAGATTTTAGAGTGGTAGATGGGCTGCAGGTGAAAATTGCCTTGTTTCTCACAGTACGTCACAGTAATATTAGTAACAGATTGATATGACACCTTTCCTATGGCAAGAAATGTTCACTGCAGAAAAATTAAAACAGTATTGGAAAAAACAAATTTTTCCTGGGAAATGGTGGCACAGGATTGCCTTGGATTTTCCTAGGACCCATAGGAGATGTTTTTCCTTTGAACAAATCCAATACAGTCTTAACACAGAGCAGGAAAGTGTTCACACACTTTCTCAAGTGTTCACACACTTTCTCAAGTGTTCACCACCTGAATCTTTTCACATAAAGGGAGAAAATAGCTGGAGGATGTTTTAGAATGGGAACACTTATTTTGGCCTTTCACTGTGATGTATCTCTGCTTGCATCTGGAATGAGTTTG